TTAGTTACAAATTCCAGACCTAAACGTAATTTTAAGAAGAAATTAATCTGCCACTACTGCAAAGAAGCTGGACATTTTGTTAAGCAATGTAAGAAGTGGAAAGCAGATGGAAAACCTTCCAAAAACGAGCAAGGTATGAACATGACTAATTGCGGTGACTAGCAATATGCTTTTTTCTAAGTACGATGAAGGGGATTGGTATATAGATAATGGAGCTACCAATCATATAACCTATCGTAGCGATATATTTCAAGATTTTACTCCCTTCATAGAATCCCACACTGTTACGACAGCCAATGGAGAATGCGTAAAATCTCTTGGCAAAGGTACTGTTACAGTTAAGTCTGATGTACGCGGAATAAAACGTAAAGTAAATCTTGCTGATGTTTGGTATGTTCCAAATATAAAGAAAAACCTATTATCTCCCCTTGTTGCTTAAGATAGACACCCAGACAGTAAATTTGTATCTAAAACCGAAGTATGCAGTTTCCTAGTTAATGGACAGACCATTTTAGAAGGAAAAAGGAGCCGTTATGGAGGTTTATATAAGTTGAATCTTAAGACAGTCGAACCAGATAATGTAAATATTGTAAATAATAGTGTTAATTTAGTGTCCAATAAAAACGTATTACAGTTGTATCATGAACGTTTTGGACATCAGAATAAGAGACATATTAAATCTTTCATTTCCCGCGAACTTGGGGTAAAAGTTGAACTAGATAGTGAAATTTGTGAGGGTTGTGTATATGGTAAAGCACACAGACTAAAATTTGGCTCTAGATGTCGTGCAACAAACCCTGGAGAACTTTTACACACAGATGTTTGTGGACCCTTTGTTAACTCTCATTCAAATTATCGTTATTTCGTTTTATTTAAGGATGACTTTAGCCGGTATCGATTTGTGTTCTTCATTAGACAGAAATCAGACGTCTCTGAAAAACTTGAGTGTGTTTTGGCTCAGATAAAAGTAACAGGACATGTCGTCAAAGAGTTACTTTCTGATAATGGTGGTGAATTCGACAACGACAAAGTTCGACAGATTCTGCAAACGTACGGAGTAAGGCAAAGATTGACCATGCCCTACACTTCTGAACAGAATGGTTGCGCTGAACGGGATAATCGAACAATCGTTGAAACAGCCAGAGCGATTATGCATGCTCGAGAAGGACTACCACAATCTTATGGGCTGAGATCATTAATACAGCTGCATATATTCTCAATAGATCAGGTGTGTCAGGTGAAAAAGACAAGTCACCTTATGAAGTTTGGTTCCAAAAGAAAGCTAGCCTAAAACACATGAGAGTAATTGGCAGCTCTTGTTATGCCCATGTTCCTAAAGTAACCCGCAAAAAGATGGACAAGAAAGCTGTCAAAGGAATTTTATTAGGTTATGATGAAAATGACGGCTATCGCACTGGAACGAAGTAAATAAACGTCTAATTAGGTCTCGTGGCGTAATTTTTGATGAAAAACCCTTCTCTTCTGAAACCTTAATACATGTCAAAGCTACATGTCAAGAAGACATTGATGGAGAAACGGTGCATCAAAATTCAAGTTCACAACTGAAGGAAGTTGAACAAAACGCTGGAGATGAAATTGAAAGTAACTATGATATGGATGAGGATCTTCATCAGGCTGAGGATGGCACATCAAAAGAAAATGAAGAAGAAGGAATGCATTTGAGAAGCGGGAAAATAATAAAACATAAGAGTTTTGACGATTATGTAATGCTTGCATTTGTAAATGTTATGAAATACGACGAACCACAAAGTTATCAAGAAGCTGTTCAAAGCAGAAATGGGGAAAAATGGCTTGAAGCAATGGAAAGCGAAATGTAGTCACTTAAAGAAAATGAAACTTGGACTTTAAAAGAACTTCCAAAAGGTAAAAGGGCTATTCCTTGTAAGTGGTTGTATAAAGTTAAGACCCTTCCTGATGGTGCCGTTGACAAGTTTAAGGCGCGATTGGTCATCAAGGGATATTCACAAAGGGAAGGTATTGATTACGACCAAACTTTTAGTCCTGTTGTAAAGACTGCAACGATAAGAGCTTTACTGAGCATTGCTGCCATCCAAAAGATGTCCCTAACACAGTTCGATATCTGCACAGCCTTCCTATATGGTCAACTAGAAGAAAATGTGTATATGAGACAACCTGAGGGTTACGAAGATGGAAGTAAACGAGTTTGTCACTTACAGAGAAGCTTATATGGTCTAAAACAAGCACCTCGTTGTTTTAATAAAAGGTTTGTGGACCATATTAATAAATTAGGATTCAAAACGAGTGAAACTGATCCTTGCTTGTTTATTAAAAAGCAGTCCCAACAAATGCTTATTCTAGCCCTCTATGTAGACGACGGTCTTTTAGCATCTACCGACAAGAAATTAGAAAAAACATTTTTAGAAGATTTGGAGAAAGAATTTAAAATAAAAGTCAAGCCAGCTACCTATTTCCTAGGTTTAGAAATAGATAGAGAAGAAGATGGGTCGATTCGAATCAGCCAGTCCTCTTATGCAAGAAAATTGTTGGACAGATTTGGAATGTTAGACTGCAAGCCAGTGTCCACACCTATCACTAAAGATACTGACGAGGCAGGGAAGGTAGAGGTATCTGATGAAGACTGCGAATATTATTTTTCATACAGAGAAGCAGTGGGAGCCCTGATGTACCTCATGACGGGTACACGTCCTGACCTAGCCTATGCAGTCAGTGTTGTATCAAGAAACCTTGAGAACCCATCTAACACCGACTTTGTAAGGGTCAAAAGGATTTTTCGATATATTAAGAGAACAAGCAACTACGGGATCCTCTATAAAGCTGATCCAAAAGGTATGAAATTAGAATGCGTTAGTGATGCAGATCATGGCGGGGATGAAACCACTGGTCGTTCAACTTCTGGAGCATTGTCTACCTTTGCAGGAGCCGCTGTATCGTGGCACAGCCAGAGACAAAGTTCAGTGGCCATCTCTACAACTGAGGCAGAGATAGTAGCTGCTAGTGAGGCATCAAGAGAGTTGATTTGGCTTAAAAGACTTTATGAAGAAACGGGACTCTTAAAAGAAATACCAGTATTATTAGTTGACAATGAAAGTGCTATAAAATTGTCGCAAAACCCGGAGTTCCACAGAAGAACCAAGCACATCAGGATTAGACATTTCTTTGTGCGAGAATTAGTTCTGGAAGGTGCTATATATATCCAGAAAATTTGTTCAAACCAAGATTTGAAACTCTGTGAAAACTCATGGGATTGGTTGAAATTACTTAATGAGGGAAGGTGTTAAAGTATATTACATTACAGTAATTTCAATGGCCCAGTATATTTAGCGTACTTTGATTTTATATAAAGTGAAGTTTTACTGACAAAATAGTTTTTTGTATGTCTTTCAATAAATAATATTTTCTCACAATATGTTTCGTTTAACTGTACATTACTGAGGGTATTAATCCACATTAACAGAATAAAGTTGTGGTGGTTGAGGGTTCATTTGTATTAGTTTGAATTTTTCTCTAGAATCAAAAATTGCTGTTGAATCCTGAATATTACGTTTTAGTTCTTTTTGATATTTATCTGATGGATCAAATTTAAGTATGCTATAATTATAGCTTGCTTGTAAAAATGAAAAAGTTTTGACAATATAATTTATATTATTAATAGCAATTACTGTATTTCTCTTATCAGCACGAGTGAAAATGATATCATCCTGTTTTGCTTTATCCTTTATAGTTTTAATTAACTTACTATCTTGATTTGAATTGTTATTACTTAAAAATTGTGTTTTAATTATGTTCGCAGTATGATATTTATGAGACAAAGTATTTATTATATGAATCTTTTAAAGCAATTCTATTCCTAAAATTTCTAAATTCGAAGTATTTATCTTAAGTGCGATGTTGTGTTTAAACCCTTTTTCTTTTAGAGATTGTTCTAGATCAGAGAAATGTGTGGTAGTTAAGTTAACAAATCTTTAAAAAATGTATGATCAGATATTTTATTTGTGTTCTGTTCTGATTTTTGTTTAGGTATTATGGATTTTTTAAAAGTAAGTGATTTTAATTTTTTCTGTTGTCTAATAAATTTTTTATGAATAATTTGACTAATCTGTTCCCTAATGTTTTTATCTACAATTTCAAATTCTTAATTTTTTAATTTTAATTTTTTTAAAATAAAAGTTTTGTGAAAATCTACCAAATTTGGTTTTACTTATTTAAACTAATATGGATTTTCATCAAGTAAAGGCCGAAACAATAAATAAAGTTTTTTCAGCAGAGACGGCAAAGTTCGTGCAGCCGAAGTTTATCCAGAAGATGGTTCTTACACCAGGCCAATTACCAAAATGATTCTGCTTCCAACTGATGACAACAAATGTGTCCCAAATTAGATACCCTATCACTCTCACTTAGTTTGTACGTTATTAAAGTTTGATTTTAAGATAATTTAATTAACATGTTTCGATTTGTTATTGGTTACAATAATTTCTTGTTTGATTACATATTTCAGTTTATTTTTTGCGCTGGGCAGTGTGTTAAAAATGCACTCTTTTTAACAAGAAAAAGTAATCAACCTGTATATAAGAGTTGCTTTGGTAACTATCATAACGATATATTATTTTTTGTGACAGCATTATTATGTAAAAAAACCACACCAACACCAAAAAAGAAAGCAGTAGTTGCCCTAAAAGTCCCCGCTACTCACTAGTTGTATCTCAAATTGTATGCTGGCTAGCGAATAAATTGATTTACACCACAACCGGTCACAGTTTCAATAAAATCTAAGTTAGCACCCCAAATCACAATTGAAAATTTTCTTCCGTTGTGATTCAACGTACAATAAATCCCTCGTTTCGTCCAGGTGTCATTTTAAATAGTAACGGAGATGTTGTTGGCATAATGAGATTAAAAATTAAATTTATCGATAAAATTTTGTCAGTTTAAATTGCTGAAAAAAAATTATAATTTATATTTTATAATTGTGTTATCAATTATAATAGTATATCAATAATATGAATTTTACTTGTTGCAGGGCCGCCAATGGATTGTCAAATAGCGAATTGAACCGGATTTTGTTTTTGATATCTCACTGGATGTGCTACGCCAATAGTGCTGTTAATCCTATTATCTACAACTTTATGAGTGGTAAGTTTCAATTTTTTTGTTCTAATTTTATATAAGTTACTTAGTTTAAAAAGTTTTAAAAAAAAAACCTGCAGAATAATTAGCTAGCTTCTTAAAATAAATGGGTTATAAATAACCCGAAATCCTCTTACACATGGTTAAAACCAAAAACCACAAAAAAAAATGTTTTTTCGAAAGTACCCATACTTCAACATTTTTAAAAGGTTTATGGATTTTAAAATAGAAAAATAAGACTGTATGTCTTTCAAAATTGTTCTATTAAATATCAGTTAAAAAATGAATAAAAAAGAATAAAAAGTTTATGAAAAAACACTTGAGACCAAACTACATCTAGGGGGCTGACGTGAGAGCCCTCTATTCCGGTAACCAAGGCATGATCCAGGCTTTTTTCTACCACAGGTTTTGTTCTAATTTTACTGATAAGAACGAACGGTTTTGAAGCACACATTTAACTTTACCGGTCTTCCAAACGGTTTATTTCGTACTGACCTTCTCAAAGGACTTTTCATCGTACGAGTCTACAATCGTGAGTCGGTCTCATAAATTCGCGCAAATATATTTTAATCAAACACATCCCAAAATGTCTTTGATTTGAATCTACTGATAGGCAACTCAAATTACAAGTGACATTAATGAGGCTGTTTAATAAATTACCTATTGAAATGATAAATAAAGATTTAAAATGATTAGGATTTAATAAATTATATATAAAGTAATTTTTTTTCCGATTTATTCAAAATTATTTAATTATTATTTGAAAACATTATCCCGAATCAATTAAAGTTTGACATAAGAATCAATAATTTAAGTAGGTAGCTATAATATTTTTATTCCTCTTTATCTAAGTGTGGCTCGAACAAAGTAGAATGAAATGAATAAAAAAAATAATCCTCTTGTTGAAATAAGTCGCTTAACTTAAATTTGCATTTCTGTCTTGCTGAGGATCGTAAATCAATTAAAAGTTAAAATATTATTAGCATAATGCAGTTGTGCAAATTAAGTGAGCTCTATTAAGGACATTACGATGCATTTTGCGGTCGCATTTCGTAATTAGATAATGAATAAACATAGTTTTCTCTTTTCCGAGCACAAATTCGGATAAAGTGCGAGATTCTTCCGGAATAAATTAGAGATAATTAACCTTGTTGTACATCTGTGTATTAAATTGTAAATATTTATGTTATTCGCAGAATTTAAAATACGTTAATGATTTATAAAGAGTGATCCACAAAAACACCTTTTCTAAAGAGTGGGCCTAGACAGACAAAAAATTATTGAAACGAACTTACCTGAAGTGAAGTTCGATCTTAATCGTATGAAACGCCTTGTTCGATATGATCATAGGTAGTACCCCTCCTTCTCCGCTTTGTGGTCACCTATTTTATACTCTAAATACCTTCAACATAATTTAGAAAATTCCAAAATAACAACTCGTCGTGCCAGTCCTTCCCACCTCTGCTCTCCTCCCGTGGTACTCATATATACTCCTACGTTATTCTTTTAAAGCCGTAATTGTGTTTAAATCTTGTAAAGATGATCTTGGGAATATAGTCTAACCAACAAGTTCAAAAGCGTGTTTTTGGGACATACTATTACGAAAATTATGTTCAATAGCTCATTCGATTCGAAATAATGTCTAAATCAATGTGTGAAGAAAAATGTTGCAGTACATAAAAAATTGTAAAAGTTATAAATAATTAAACACCTCAAAAACATGGTGTTTGGTTTTCGCCTATAGTTTGTAAACTAAAAATATTTTTGGATTATTCAAAAAAGATCCTTAAAGAGAAAGAAATTTGCTATAAATAAGTTCTGACTCCCGGAACTGTACCTTCATTATTTATAATGTTAATTTAACGCTCAAAGTAGCCTTCCGCGCGCCATTTTTAGGTTGCGCGCACGGCGTCGAAACCGAGTACGTTACATAAAATAATTTTTTTAAGTTAATAAAATTAATTTCAAAAATTTTAAAAAATTACGGTGTATTCTAAACACTTAGAAGAATTTATTCCCGTTGGAATTTTTTATAAAAATTAATTTTCCAACAAAGTAGGTTATTGTTAATTAACAAAATTTTTAGAATTTCTCTCATCATTACAAATTGATAAAAATATTAAATACTTACCGTAAATTTTTTTTGCTTCGTGTAGCTCTTTTTTATATACATATAAAACAAAATAGCTTCATAAAAGTTTGAAAAATGTTAATACTTTATTTATAATAATTTTTTAAAGTTTACAAAAACAGAAAAATCACAGTGGTGCTATAAAAAATTTTCAATTTATTATAATATTACTGTTTTAATGTCGAGAAAGGACATTTATTAATTAAAAAAAAATTTGTTTCTTAATAATAACTTCTAATTGTTTATAATCGTTTTTCTACACCCGTATTATAATAATGCACTTATATGCCCATAATCCGTTTCATAATGATACCCATTATGATACAGATTTTTCATTATGATACAGATTTTTAATCAATAGAAACCTACAATTTTTCAATCAAGCATGATGTTTGACGTTTGTCCTAAATTCCTATGTAATTGTTTTAGTTGTCAAAACGTATTAAATTTTCGTAGATTGCTAAACTTCGATAATTATAATATTAAAATGTCTGATATCAGCGATATAGAACACTCCTCCACACATATAGGAGAAAGGAGAAAATGCAGTACAAAATATTTTGCCCCAAAAATCTGTGGTAATACCAGTACCCAAGGTAATACCATTATTTACAATTTTGTAGAATTTTTTATAGAAATACGAGCAATTACTGTTATTGTGTTCAATACCAATATAAATAGAATATTTATAGGTCTTGATTATTTATCGGGTGTAGAAAAAATAGCGTATGCAACTCTCATGTAATGGTTATTAAAACACTCGCATAAACCATACGAAACTCGCCTTTGGCTCGTTTCGTATCCCGGTTAATGCTCGTGTATTAATAACCATCATTACATGATCGTTGCATAATATACTATTTTTTAATATATCTATTGTTTAAATTATTAGTTAAGAAATGTGTTTTTTTTTAAATCATAATTGACAGTCCTCTAGAAAGTGACAACAAAAAAAAATTAAAAATGTTTTATGAAAAATTAATCCATGTTACATGTTTAGCTCAAGGCCTCAACAGAGTTGCAGAAGAAATTAGGTCTAACTTTCCTTTAATAAATTATTTAATTAGTAATGTAAAAAATAATAATTGTTCAAATAAAAACTTCCTGAATTACAGATGCCACCGGAACCTGTGATTACTCGGTGGGGTACCTGGCTTAAAGCTGCCTTTTTTACGCAGATAATTATGAAAAAATTAAAGAAATCATATTTGATTTTTATGATTCATCTAAGGGAATATCTAATCGTTTCAAAATCACATATTACCAAAGCAATTAGTGTTTTTAAAAAATTATGCATTTGTACCCAAAATTATATTAGATTTAGAACAAAAAAATTTACCTTTGGTGACTTCCGTAAATTTAATTAAGACGTTTGAATCAGAGTGTAAAAATGTCCAGGGCGATATTGGAAAGACGATTTTTCATAAATTTTCAAATGTAATTTTAAGAAATGAAGGATTTATTGTTTTAAAAAACCTTGCTAATATTTATTCTGGTAACTTTGAAGATATTAATACTATTCATCCAGATATTTCAGGAAAATTTAAGTTTGCACCTATTACTTCTGTAGATGTCGAAAGGAGTTTTTCTTTGTACAAGTACATACTTACTGATAGGAGACAATCATTTAATACAAATAATTTAGAAAAACATCTAATTGTTCATTTGTTTAATAATTAAATAATAATTAAGTATTATATTAGGTATTGTAAAATAAAACAAATAATAAATATTAATAAACTATTTCGATCAAATAACAAATTACTCTTATTGCATATGCTCTGCATATTTTTCAATTTTTACGCATATATTGAAGTATTTTGCGGCATATATATGCGCATATTTAACTACTTTTTGGGTGCATATATTCCTAGGTCTAAATGACTTATGTAAAATAGTTAATAAAATTATTCTATTCTATAATTTATTGTAATTTATGTTTGCTTTAAGTCCATTCTCTCTAGCTTCCTGCATATGCTTTCTTAACATTGTTCGCTGTTCTTCAATTTCTTTCGCATAATCTTTATCTTTAAATATATTTATACCTTTTAGCTTCGAGGTTGTTCTAGTTATTTCTCTTTTTTATGCCAATCCCTGAATTCCAATAACATTGGCCTTACTTTATTTTCAATTAAATGGCAATTATTTTAAATATCAAATTGCTTAAATATAGCAACTCGCTTAAATAACAACGTACTTAAATAGCATCTTGCTTGAATAGCGACTAGCTTAAATAGCAACTCGTTTAATAGGAAATTATTTAAATAGCGACTTGCATAAATAGAAAGTTACTTAAATAGCAACTCGCTTAAATAATAACTTGCTTAAATAGCAACTTAATGTTACAGAAACTGCCTGGTTAAAAATATCGCTGACCAAAAAATAGTAAATTGCAGGTAACGCCACTGTAAGACCTTTGACACATCTACACGTTTATAATTCGCACGTATGTATCCGTATCAGTATCATTTTCGTGTATACACAAGCAAAGATAAATAATTGCATACGGTTCTGGTCATTCCTAAACATGTCTCTGGCTTGCTGAAACGTACAAAAGCTTTAATTTGGATTATGGAAATACCGGAGGCTGTGCATACGGACAAACAGTTGCGAAACTTCTGAAATTCTTGCTTTTTAATTGAGACTAAAATTATTTTTCGTGCTAATTGAGATGAGAGAGCGAATTTATAAATACATACATTTCGTATTTGTTAATGAACATGTTTATTTTTCTGTCGTCATTTTTACAACTTTGCAGCATATTTAATACTTAAAAATATTTATGCAACTCGACTCGTTGCAAAAACTTCATAATTATTTACAAGTTTCTGTAAACATAAAGCAGAATGCTTTTTGGCTTTGCCAGTGCTATTAA